CACACACACACACACACACACACACACACACACACACACACACACACACACACACACACACACACACACACACACACACACACACACAATACACATTTTAATTACATGTTGAATACAAAGAGTATCTTGAATGGGCATTCCAGTGATTTTCCACATAAAAATCCTTTAGTGTGTTTGTTACAGTTATTGTCAGTTATTTCAGTTGTGTTCTTGGTATGAGAGGAGGATATAAGTCTTTTAAGCACTGATTATTATATAACACTGTTTTTTCAGTTATGTCTTTGGACTGATCTAAACTAGATGTGTTGAGTTTAGAGGATTTATTAAGGTGTTTATTACTGGTAGTAGATACAGTGTTGAAGTGTAATACCAGAAAGGATGGCCTGTACAAATGAGCCAATATGTATGAACAGTCTGTTTATTATAGTATTTTAGTAGCTTTATATAAGTTATGACATTACCTTTAAAAACCTGATCTTGTCAGTGTGCCAATTACTGGAAGGTTAAATTATTATCTTTCTAAGAAAAAAACAATTACCACTAAGTTGCGTTCTTTTTAACACAGTGTGATCCATTTGTGACAGGTGTGGACTATAGTCAAGCTAGTTTGGCACCTGGACCCTTGTAGGTCACTTGACACACTACACGCTCTTATACTACTGTGGGTTCTTGCTTTTAAAGTGAAAGCTGAAAAAAATTGAAACAGTCCCTCTTTTCTTTATCCCAGAGGATGAAAAACAATTTCAAACTGTGATGGTTCAAATAGTTTCTGCACATCACCTCAGTCCATCTCTAAAGAGTTAGGTCCCAAAGAACACATTGGCTTTTTATACTATGCTTTTTTCATTACCTTAGGAGAGTTTGAATTTGAATTTGTGGCGATAGCAACAAACTGTGTTTACTGGGTTAAGGCCATGCATTAATGTCAGATGTGAAGTCATGTTGGTTTTTAATTCACTGCTTTCTGAGAGTGTTCGACTTTCTCCCTTGCATACAGATATTTCTCAGGATTATCTAGCCATCCATAAATCCCCTTTTTTAATGCAAGATTTAAATGGCTTCTAGGTTGCTATAGTCTTTTTTAAATGAACTTTTAACATGCCATGCTTTTTTCTTATGTCTAAATGTAGATATCCAATATCCTGTCAAGAAAACAAAAATCAAAATAGAGAAAGGTTCACAGGAGGCACGACATAATGAACCAGCAAAGCCTAAGGGCAGACACACACTAAATGCACATGGGAAGATGAATAAATGAGACACAGGTAAAGTCATTCAAGATGATAATGAAGTAAAATAGCCCAGAAGGGATGAAAAAGTACAAGGGAATAACGCTCAAAATGAAACAGGAAAATTTAAAGCAGAACAAAGAACAGATGCAGAAAAACAGCAAGCTATAGACGGGGTGAACAGAAAACGCACAGGAAAGGAAAACCACAAACACATGGAAGTACCATGACTAATGTTACAACATGAATCAAAGCAGGGTCTCATATACACATGGGATGTATGTACAATTTGAATGATTGCTTCTTGTATTTACATGTATTCTTTCCCTTTCTTTCCCTCAGCTTTACTTGACGAGTGACCTGCAAAGTTTTCAAAAGGTAAGTTAAGTTTTAACATTAATTACAGCAAAACTAACTGTGACAATGCTTTAAATGAAAAAATAATGGAAAAATTGTGCATTTGTACATACTGTACATACTTTAGTGCAAGATGACATAATTATGTTCCCCCTTTTTGTGAGAATTTTTACTATTATCATATATTTTGACCTAAAAGTGTGCAAAAAAGTCTCGCCTCCAAGAAGTAAGCCTGGAAGACAGCGATTCCTTTCTGTCATGGTGGAAGATAGTTTACTTTGACCCCCAGGAAAGACTTGAATATGAGGGTCTGCCAGTTCCTGTAAGTGTTTACTGTATCTTCCTGGTTAAACGTTACACCTGCTGCAGCATCAGTGTTATAAATGCATTATGTTCCTTTCACTGCCATTAAGAATTGTGTTTTGTCTATGCTTTTTTTAGGCTAATGTGAAGGTGCTGATTGTACATTGCAAAACAAACCAGGCTCTTGCTGTTCTGGGTGATCAAGTCCTCTGGTATTTTTCAATTTTCTTTTCAAATGTAACTCCAAACCAGTTGTGTTGGGCATTTATGATATCAGCATAGATGTCTGTTAGCACATTAGCAATAACAAGCAATACTGTAGGATACATAAGGAGCAAGTAAAGAAGAAAACAGTACATTTTTGCTACAATGACATTAAAATTGCACTGCTACTCAGGTCCAATTAGCTAATCAGCTCCACAGCCGCTATAAGAACATGTGAAACCAACCATCTGTTGTGTCCTTAATAATGACCACCAAGATGTGAATTCATTTCTGCTGTTAATAGATTCCGGCCTTCAGAATGGCAGTTAAAAGTGACGTTCGGTCCCCTGCATGCCAATTATCGTTTTTCTGTGCATAACAGTTGTGTCCTTGCAGGACCATGTACGGCAAGGAGTATGAGCTGACAGCTCACACGTTCTTGGATTCCCATAAAGCTGAACAGGACAACAATCACTGGATACTCTGCACCGCTGATCCTGCAGGGGACGGACTTGTACTTTTCAAACAACCACAGTTGATGGCTAAAAAAACAGAACTTGAGGCGTTCTCAGAAGCTAACCCTAGTGTTTAACACCATCTGTTTTTATGCTAAAATGTATTGTAATAAAGGTTGTTTTTTTTCTGGTTAGGTCATCACTTGTAATGCAGGAAGATTCTAGTGCAAAAATCAGTAACACATAACCACCAACTGTTAAGTGTGTTTTACTAGAAGTAATAAGTAATAATTTGACAGCAATATTCATGAATTTGTTAATAACTAGTTTGTAAACCATCTTTGAACATTATCTATAACAAAGTTGCAGCTGATGTTAAAATATTAATAATTAACACTGTTTATTATGTGGATGATTATTATACAGCTGGAACTTGTATTTGATTGTTTTTTTAATGTTATTTTTTTAATTGTGCATAAATATTCAGTTCAGTTAGCATCAGAAGACTGTGATGCAAATAACAGAAAGTTATTCGAGGGAAGGCTGTATAAAGTAAATAGAACTGGTCCCAGCACGGTTCCCTGTGGAGCTCTGTATAGAAAACACTCCCCATTTTCATGAGGAAATGGAAATCTGTTTCGCAGATATGATTCAAAACACTGCAGCACAGTACCTTTAATAATTACAAAATGTTCTAATGTTTGCAGTAAAATATTGTGGTCTACGGTATCAAATGCCGCACTGAGGTCTAGCAGGACAAACACAGAGATTAATCAACTGTCAGCAGGCATAAGTAGATCATTCATAACCTTCACCAGTGCCGTTTCTGCACTGACTAGAATTTGCTAAATAAACTAAAGTAAAAAGAAGGTTGGAGTTTGGTCAATAATTTGCTAAGACAGCTGGGCCAAGTAGAGGCTTTTTAAGTAATAGTAAACTTATCTTAACTTGGTAGGTACCCTAGTAATAAAGATAGATTTATCATATTTAAGATCGATACATTAGTTAATTGTGGGACTTTTTAAACAGTCTTATCAAAAGGGGTCTAATAGAGTTGATGGTTTGAAGGAAGTAATCATTGGAAGTTAACTGAGGAATATCGATCTATACTGCTTATAAATTCAGGAATGTCCAAAGATGCAACCCTCATCTGCAAAAAAGCTGTGACTTTGTAAATAATGTAAAGCAAAAATGATTTAAGTCTTCTCTTTAACTGAAACTGCAATACAAAGTAATGTTCTGTAAAAGAAAATTGAAAAGAAAAATTTACAAAAGATTATTGTTCTCTCAATTTTTTTTGGCAATTGGGGAAAAATAAACAGCAAGAAGGAGACGATCCCAGAAGAACCTTCCAAGAAGAGCCAATATCCCAGTTGTGTGTGTGATAGGAGAGACAGCTAGTCTACCCCTTGGAAGTTTAAGTCTATCTCACTGCAGGAACGACTCTGAGGGATGGCTTTAGAGAACAACGAATATTAAAAACAGACCTCTGTTCTCTGAGATGTCTGCGGGATTAGGTTTCAGTTTAAATTTTTTCTTTTGTCTTCATGACCTCAATTGTGGGGCAGAGGTTTTGGAAGCATTATCAGTAAACCAGACTTCCAAGTGCATGGCTTAGACCTCAGTTTTTTGTTTTATCTGAGCTTGCATTTAAGTTACCATCGCTGAAGCAAAACAAACAAATATCACAATGAGACGTGTTTGTTTTCTCCTGGTTTTGGTCATAATGTGCAGCATCATGTTTCTTCTAATTATATGCAGTGAAATACATATAATGATCCCGCTCAGAGTTTAAAAGGTTTTATGTAGCTACATCATTGATGTTTTTTTCCCTTATGTGTTGTTTCACAGCAGCGTTTGAACATGTTTGCTGCTATTATGCTTTTCATTTAAGTGTCATTCATCTGAAACGGACTGTGTTGCTGCACCTGCCAGGTGATTGAGCCACACTGAGCGTGACTCAGAGACAAAGGGAGAAGCCCTTACTGCACATGGTGGTTCTGAAGAACTTCTCCACTGCAGAGAGGTAAGCCAACCACAGGGAAAGACAGTTAACTGTAATATTTTTGGCGTCTGCAGCAGGGGTGAAAGAGAATCGAGATACTAGAAGATCTGTAATATCAGCATGGTTGATTTTAGTTTGTCTGAAGAGTGGTTTATTTTCATAATAAAAACAGCACCACAGATCAATACATTAGTAGTTAATTAATTAATTAATAAACATTTATTTGCCGTATACAGTTCCAGGAAACATTCAAGTACACGATGATGTGGCTCCGGAGCTTTTAAATTACGTCTTAAATTAAGTCTTTTTTTCAATAGTGCAGTAGATACTGAGAGGAATGAGAGCTTACAGCGGTTTGTTTTACAGCCGCTTGCTATAACATCATCTTCCATGGCCAGTTCATGGTCAGAGTCCACATTAGACCAGCTCTTGATAACCAGTAAGCACATGCAAGGCAAATGCTTATCATTAACACACTAAAACCATAAAATACACGATCAATCACACTATTTGTTTTCTGCAGTTAATGTGTAATTTATTACATAAATTACACATTAAAATGATGTAGTGCCTTTATATTACTAACCAAAAATAAATAAAAAATAATGATTTTGCTGTAAATATAACAACAACAACAAAAATACTTTTATACATGTTGACGGAGGATGAAGTGAGTGGTCTGAGGAAATGAACTGACCTAAAGTCTGCTGGAGCAGCAGTCAGTACTTCTGTAATACTTGCCAGATGGCAGCAGGGTGAATGCTGTGGCTTGGCCGGTAAAATAAAAAAACTGCTTTCTAAGAACCTTGTTCACTGTAACTAGCATCTATATTGTTTATTTCAGTAAGCCAACAATAAATGGGTTTGAAAAACTTTCAATAAAGCAGCTGGATTGTGGTTTATGTGCCAATATAGATATGTAGTCTCTGTGCCCTCCCACTCCTGGGGAAATTATCCAGACAAAGAATGACTCTATCTTGCTGGAAAATTACTGGAACCAGTCTGAAGTCATGTTAACGTTTAACTTCACAGTTAACCCACCCACCCCACTCCACTCCTAAGGTGGTTTAAAATTTTGATTCTTCAAAAAAAGTCATATAATTTTTCCTGGACAAGAAAACCTGTTTAGTTAGTTTTTTTGTATTATTTATATAAGAAATATTATTGTATAATATGTATATATTTATGTGGTGCAGTCAGAAGCAGGAAGTATGGGAAACATGGATAGGTTTGTAAAAATGACCTCCAGGAGCTAGCATCATAAGTTAACAACAGTAGTCTTATCCAGTCACAGTGTGTCAGGGTCAAGTTGACAAATAGTTGCCTGAAATAGGCTCATAACTTTATACAAATTTTATAATTATATTATTTTTTAATTATACAAATTGTAGACAGCTGCTCAACTCATTAAGAACAGTAACATAAGCGTTTCGTCCTCCTTATTTGTATTTATTGTGTTTTTTATGTCATTGACAGAATTTAGATTGACTGTGTAACCAGACAGTCATAGCAGTGGATGTACCTGGACTGGTGGCTGTTGTGTGTTTTTTAAAAATATTCTCATCCTGGTCACCAAAATCAAAGAAAGTGCAGAAGACATGTGATGGCAACAAGAACAAAGTTACCATTGTTGGCAGCCAGAAAATCAGTATTCTGGTGGGGGTTCCTACCCTGACAGGTAGAACTTTTGAACTGATTGATCATTATTGCTTTCAGTATGTGTTCTTTCCTGCTCTCCACGTGTTTGACTGTGTCTTTGTCAACTTGTTTATTTTCTCTACTTCTCGTTTAGCAACACGGGTTGGAGCGTGAAGCAAGTGAGTAGCTGAAACTGTAAGCCAGAAGGGTGATGGTCAGTGCACAAGTATTATTATTATGCTGCTACTATAAAGCATCTGACAAGTTTTTCTTGTTCTGAGTTTGAGGGCCATTGTCAGCCTCACATACTCAGGTTTCCAGGGATGTGTGTGGTAGGCAAGCTTACATTATACCTGAAACAATAGCACTGAAAGAAAGCAGCGCCTCCTGAAGGGCAAGGGCTGTCCTAAAACGGTTTTATGGTGTTTTTATTACAACATGCTTATCTCTGTCTGTTTTTATTACAATATGATTATGTCATCGCGACGTTGTATGGCGCCATATTGAAAAATAGTGTAGTTGTTCGTCTCTCTCTATGCCCTTTCACATGAAAATTTCTTGAAATTGTTTTTTGAGGTCAACTTTGACCCTGGGTGCTAACAATTAAGGTCAAGGTCAAATAGGTAGGTCAACCTAGGTACTCATGTCCACTAAGGTGTAGTTTATTGTTGTCTAAATTTAATCTACAAAAGAAACTGTGAGTGATATAAAGTTTTTATGATTTTCACATTTGATATGACCTTGATTTTTACCAAAATTAAATCAGCTCGAGCTGTAATCGGTATCTAACATCACACAAAAATTGAAAAGACAGACAGACCAATTACTCCCTCCCATCGAGGGAGAAAAAACATAATGTTGCCAGTTAAACAAGGGTCGTTTGTAGTAGTTATTTTGGTTTGGGTATGTATTTTTAGGCCACCGTGTACCTTTCACTAAAAAGATCTGGTTGTAGCAGATGCCAAATGGGTTGTAAAAGATAGACTTGATTTTTCAGATTCACGACTACCCTGTAACTCTGGATCTAGTCTAAGTACTTTAATTTTTAATGCACCGACAAACTAAAATATTTGACACCTGTCTAGAAGAACAATAGTGAGGTAGGGCATTGAGGCCAAAACTATAAATCTACTAGCCTAATCATTAAGAGCCCTAGTTCAGACTTAGAGGGATAATAATAATAACACTGGCTCTAGAGAGAGTCTTTTGCATTTGTTACAACTTTAGCAGGGCTTGCTGTGATGTTACTTTCTCTGGATAAATCCAGGGGATGTGGGCAAGTAACAACATTTTTTAAGGCTTTGCAGCCACTTTAGTTTTTACTGCATGCTTGAAAAGATGCTTTGGTAGCTAAAGTGAGGGCTGCTCAGTTGGTTGTAATGCCGACCTCATCACCAGATGTCACTAAAATTCTACACACTGCTCCTTTAAATGGCACATTTAATCTGTTGTGCAGGTCTCACTTTTTACAAAGCTAGATTTATATTGTTGCACAGTCAAATGTTTCTGTAACAACAAGTGAATTGTCAGGACTCTAAAAAAAAGCAAAAAATAAAACAGATTGTCTTTTGGTTCTAGAGCTAAAGGACTGAAATTAGTCTATAGCGATAGTTCACTTGATTTCAGTGCAGTGTATTTAATGTGTGACCTATGCAGTGGTACACCGATTATCAGAAATACTAGCAAAATATAAGGAAGTTTAAATGTCAATATAGCATTTAGTTGGATTTTAAAAAATTTTTTCAATGTAACCTGTAACCATTTTTCACATCACTTATCCAGCGTACAGTATGGTCCTTTACTTACATTGTCTAAATCAGAATGTCTCTTTTGCATTGATGTTACATTTACTTTGTGCACTTTTTTTTAAGGTGGATTGTTTTTTTGCATCACCATGCTGGAACCATTTCAGCACTGCGACACTTTTGCTTCCTGCTCTGGTGAGTTTTATTTCGTGGGTTTCAAAAAATACTGAAAAATATTCACTAATATAGTTTTAAAAAATCATAATGTGCTTTGCTATTTTTTTTGGTAAAACTGAAAAAATGGAAAATTCCCAGAGAAGAACAATAATAATTTTAGTTTTAATAATATAATTTTGATTAAAAAAAATATGTGCATGCTGTTACAAAAACAGAAAAATAAAATGGTAACAAATGGATGGATAGGAAAGCTTAAGTTGGAGGATGCGGGAAAATGGGCTGATGACATGCTGTCATTTATATTTTATGTTCAATTTGTGGCAATGTGTGTAATGCAGTAATGTGACTAAAATTCTATAGCCCATATTATAATCCATGTGCAATGCATAATAGGTTACTAATGATGGCTTCCCATACAGCCTCAAAAACCTTTGTGGGCTGTAATATCATCATTAGTTCGCCACATGGCTTGTAACGACCAGTATCCTTTGACATGTTTGCAGCTGACTTTTTACAGATCTAGTTGCGTACAAGCTGATGTTGAAACTTCATGGTATCTTCTTATGTTCTAAAAACTCTGTACTTGCTTTCTCATGTTAAAAGACACTTTAAACATCACAATTTTGGAGCTGGGTTTCTATCAACAACTAATTCCTCAGTGCTCTCATTCTTTTGGGAGTGTTTGGGGAGAAAACAGAAACAGGCAATGAAGAAATGAGTCTCCTTTGAGGAAAACCTAATTGTCAATAGAGAATTGTAGACCAGACATTTTATAGGTACACCTTCCTGATGCCTGGTTAGACCTGCTTTTGCCTTGAGAACTGCCTTTATTCCTCATGGCATAGATTCAACAAGACAGTGGAAACATTCTTCAGAGATTTTGGTCCATATTCACATGACAGCATCACATTGTTGCTGCAGATTTGTCGGTTCCACATCCATGACGTAACTTTTCCTTTTCAACTTTCCACCACATCCCAAAGGTGCTGTTTCTATTTGGTGGATTGTTATGTTCCAGAAAGCAGTTTGAGATGATTAGAGATTGTAGTATGGCGTGGTATCCTCCTGGAAGCAACCACCAGAAGATAAAGACACTGCAGTCATAAAGGGATGGACATGGTCAGCAACAATACTCAGGTAGGCTTTGGCATTTGAACAATTCTCACGTAGCACTAAAGGGTTTAAAATGTGCCCATTAACTTTTAATCCACTATTACTACACTACCACCTGTTGATTTACTATCAAATCAAAGCAATCTGGCTGTTCTAGTTAAACCTCTGGCATTTTCACACAGAGAACAGAGAACTGTCGCTGTCTGGATGTTTTCTCATTTTAACCATTCTCCGTAAACACCAGAGATGACTATGTGGGAAAATCCAATTGGATAAGCAGTTTCCTTAGTACTCAGACCAGCACCAACAAATTCAAAGTCACTTAAATCACCTTTCTTCCCTGTTCTGATGGCTGGTTTCAACATCAGCAGGTCGTCTTCATGACATCTACATGCCTAAATACACCGAGTTGATCTACGCTACCAAGCAGAGGAACAAGCATACTTAGTTTCTCCACAATAATTTTAATATAATACGCACGTTTCTCCAGCAGAGGGCGACAACTAAACACCCTTTTCAACAACCACAGCACCATACGGTAACTGAAAAAAACTGCGCCGCTTCTCATTAGAAAACATTGCAGTACATGTCCGGAGTTTTACGATTGTCAAGCATATGTGAGGGTTGTTTTTTTTAATTATTATTGTTTTTGTAATAAAGTATGCTAATTTTCATATCATATCACATATTTACGCAACTAAAGGACTCCATTACTATAATGCATGTAGCTTTATTTGAAAATACAATGAGAAGCAAGCATAAGTCAGCAGTTCCTTTTCCCAAATAAAGATCAGTGATGCTGCTGTTTATAATTCATAGTTCATAGTATTTATTGCAACGACATCGTTAATTTCGTTCGTACATCAAAATGTAAAGGAACAAGGAGATAAAAGACAACCCGCTTTCATTCAAAATGAAAACTAATTACAAATGTCCGCTGGAGTTAACCTTAGTTAGGCTCACATGTTCCCAGTTAGGGGATGCTGTGCGGTATGGATCGATAACCACGCTCCTTGCACAGCGTGTTGTCTGCTGCGTGTATTGGATGAATGAAAGATAAAAGCACAACTCAAGTCCCCGCTTGACTACATGTCCATGTCGGATTTTACTTTTTACCCTACCCGTGACGATAGTGCGCAGCGTAACCTATGGTACAGCTCCTGAGCACTAAATAGACTTCAAAACACTGAACGTCGTCCCCTGTATGCCAGAAGTCCTGCAACCCTTAAAGTGTATTAAATCAGACAGTTGTGCACTTGTGCACTGACAGTTCAGAACAGAACAGTGTAAAAGATTTCTACTCTGAACCATATGAAACATTGTCACACATAAGAGTCGTCAGCTGAGTTACTCGAATGTGATCCTTTCAATCTTAGACAAATCTGCAGTGACCTGCGAAAAGACGAGTTTAAAAGCCATTAAAAATTAAAGTCCACATTTCACTTCATTGAGCAGACCTGCCGATCTTGTTTTTAGCCCAGCAAAATGCATATTATAAAGGAAAACATGTAGGAAATATAGCTAGTGTTAAAAATTAATTTCATCACCTGTCAGTACCTCTTATTACAAGTGAAATCCAACGGTGATAAAGGGTAACTATGAGGATGTTAGTAAACAGTGAAACCACCCAAACATAATCTAATCAGCTAAAATGAAGTGAAACATGCAGTACAATTATTCACTCCCTCCTACAACAAAGAAAAACATATTTATTTAGTACATCATTCACAAATATTTATTTACTTACACCTTTTGAAAAAAGCATTATGAACAAATCCAGAGGAGTAAGATATATATGCATATTTAAACTAAACAGAAAAATAAAATGTGTCTGTACTTGGATAATAAAACAAAGGCAAAATTCTTCAGGGCTAAACTCTCACTGTAACTGTAAACATTGTAATCTTTTGACTCGCTCTGGAGCACAGAGTTATTCAGTCAACAATGTGCACTCTTTGAAGTAATCCATCTCAGATAACATGATTTGTGTGCCAACAACGTTATATTTTATCCCACCTAATTCTTTTTACAAAATGTAAAACTTCTTTAACCTTGACTGAGATAAATGTTTCAAAGCTCTGTTAGGCAAAGGACACATTAACTGACAATAAAAAAAAACAAACTTTGTGCCTGTTCCTCTGTCCTAAAAGCCAAATTCTTACACTGAACTAACCTTCAGTTTGTTACACAAAAGAACATTTATTGCTATACCACCTTAAAATAATGATTACAAAAAATGACCTAACTGGCATTTAAAAACAAACCACCTTTTCAGTTATTGCCTCACAGACAAAACGCCCAATTTATATAAATATGTCACAAATACTCATTTGTCTTCATTACTGGAAGAGTAAAAAAATAATGTGCTGGAAATCTGGTGAGATGGGCAAGAACTGCCTCCAGCCCTCACGTTGAAAACCACTTATGTGGCCAATATAATTCAAATGACTGGGATATTTGAATTATACAAATAGGATCAACTCAGGAAAAGGTAATAAAATTTGTTTGCTTCTTTTAAAAGCTAAAGCTCTACAAGAATTCCACTGAGTACTTCTGTAGGATGCAGGAAATATGTAAGAAGGACAAATAAATAAACAAACAAACAACACAATTTAATGTAAAGAATTGACAGCATCAGAAAAATTAAGGATTAACCAAAATAATGTCAAAGCAACCCAGTGGGAGGAGCCACAGATGTTTCAAATATTGTAAAAAACGTAATCTAAAGGTATGACTAGTGGTTTTAATGATCACTTTTAAATATTTAAGATCTGAAACAGCCGCATGAACCGCTTCAGTTGTTAACTAACAGCAGAAACGAAATATCTGACTAAACCTAATGATACGCATATGAAAGAGTCCACTAAGTGACATGAAATACTTAATTAAGTAGTAGTTAAACAATTAGCTAATGTATGACGGAATTAGTGGCCCATATTGTGGGGTAAGGTGTATTAAATAACATGGGAGCCACTGTTCTCAACAATGACATGAAGTTTAGAAGCTGGGACAGCAGAAAAGTGTTCCCACTCACATCCGGCTGGGGTGTGTGTGTTTTGTTTGGGTTGCCCCGTCGTTCGAGACACGCCGGGTCTAAATCCGCTCCGTTTTTTGTATCCTGCTCCCGACCACCTTATCCGTAACACTTTGTGTTTCTGTGTGAGAGAAGCCGACTCTTGTTTACAGCAGCGATTCCACGGAGGAGCGGCGGAGACCCGTAGTGTGCTTTAACCGAGGGCGGACCGTGGGATTTCAGCCTGTGGATACACACGCGACGGGAGTTTTTCTTTTTCTCTTTTGTGCGAAGCTATAAAGGCAAAACAAGAAACACTCTTGGAGAGCAACTCCTTAGACATATTCTCCCTCCCCACTCCAGCCGAGGTCGTCTAGCTGGAGAGCTGGAGACCCATTCTCTTGCGTGGCACAAGTCTGGTATTTTCTTTCAGTTGCAAATCCCGACTGACGGCGGAGATAAGTCGGAGCTGAGGGGCTGAAAATTTGCTGATTTTGTTTTTTTTTAAAGCAACTTCTCATTGCGAGCCAGGACTGCTTGGTTTGGGGGGGTCGATAGATCCTGCTGTTTGAATAGCATACGGAAAAACAGGTTTTTCATTCATTTTTCAACCTCACAGCCACCACCCCTGTGGATCTGTACGCGTTTTCAGCCCACCACCTCCTCACACACACTTATTCACACGGGGGATTCTTGTGAGCGACACTGGCTTTAATTTATTATGGTGGTAAAGGCTGCTAAGATTTAAGTCTGATTTTTTTTTTTTTGTTGTTGTTGTATTAACGGGCCTGGTCGCGCTGTGTAGGCTACGCGCATGCTGTTTTTAAGAGATGGAGAATGAAGATGGGGATTGCTATCATTTATTCAGTAAAATCATGGCTTGTGTGCCATACCAGCCAACGTCAAAGCATCCTGTGACTGGCAAAAATAGCAGAGTGTTTTAGTATTCCACCCCCCAACGTTTAAATATTTTTTGTACACATTTATATATATGTTTAGAGCAAATCCAGACAGATAAGCGACCACGCATCAGGATATCAGAAGCTTTTGGGCTACGAGGCACTTGTTTTCTCTTTTTCTCCTTTTTTTAAAAATTTTTTTGTGCGAAGGCTCTGATTTATTGAGCTGATGTGCACAACTTAAATACTTTTACTTCCTTTTTACTCTCATTATTTTTATTTTTTCTTGAAGAGGAGAATAATGTTCAGGAACGTAAAATCAGAAGCACCGATGGGTGGCCCGATCTTGTTTTGGGGTCTGATGCTGTCTGTCTCCACTATCTGCATATGGTCCACATATGGAGAGAGTAAGTATTTAGTTCTAATCAATATTGTTTTTATGAAGAAGATGTCGCTTGAGCAGGAATAGGCCTAAAGGCATAATTTGCTTTTGTAACCCAGTTTAACCTCTTGCATAAACGCCTTTTTTCCCCACTAGTGGAGGATATGCGTTAGCTGCAATTATTGTTTTTATTTGCAAAATAATCAGAGTGAATACCTGTAGTTGGACAAAACGATGGAATGCGACAAAACCGACTTGTGCTCCTTACTTATGCTATCTGAAGAGGACCATGTGGTATAGCTGCCGTCAGTTGATGCGCGCATTTAACCAAATACAGTCACTGTTGTGCGTAATATCGTCTTATTTGATGAAACTGTCATGATTATTGAGAAATGCGTAAAGACATGGAAGCAGACACCGGTGTGATTTTTGACATTAGACATCCAGAAAGCACGGGATGAAGCCAGGGAGCTGAGCTGAAGGTTACTACGACCATGTGGCCATTTTACATTTCGTAGTGTGGCGTCGCTGCGCACGAACAGCCAATTTTTATTTTTATTTTTTTGAAATCTGGCGATCCCTTGATTCTTAAAATGTAAAATGCCAGAAGACTGCCTATATATCTAAATATAATTTAAAAAAAAAAAGTGAAACATTGTTACATTTGTATAGATCTGTGCACTGTTAACTAATGAAAGTATTGAAATACAGCAGCGCCAGACACATAAATCCAGCCTTAACAGCGTGCTCTTTTGTAAAACGCAAGAAATGTCCGCTGACGTTATACTAACCATCCAAATAACGTTTTAATTTTCTTTGGCATGACGTGAAAATGTGTGCACTTAATGCTAATTAACCCTTAAAGGCGGAGAAAAGTTAAAAAAAAATCAAAAGGGTTTGTAGGAGCCAGTGTATTCAGTTCATTCTCAAGTATTCAGTTTTATAAATGGCAGAATTTCACAGGAGTCTGCCCACTTTTGTTGCCTTTGATTGATGTAAAAGTTTGTTTTCATGGTTTAAATTTAGAATAGGATGATAAATCATATAAAATAAAAACTGTTTTTGTTTATATCTACATATAAATCTAATCTGATCTAATCCTGTGTAATGTACTGAGAGCTGCCACAGTCAAGGCTGCTTTTTGCCAGTGCTAAAATAGAACAGCTGATCAATGGGGGTCAAAGAGGGTTCCCTCTCCAGTCCCTGGCTGTATGGAGTGTGTTTATATCTAATGGCTCATTGTCTTGGTTTTCAAAGGCAAAAGCTTCTGCTTCAAATGCACAAAGAAATTAGTTTTTGAAAAATAAAAAAAAGGAAAAACTAAAGAAATTGAATGATAGAGAGGATTAAGCATTCCAGCTTTATGTAGTAAAGCTTCTTGTGACACTTTGCATCAAGTTTCCCAGATTAAACAGAGATATTCATGGAGTTCATTTAGATTTTTTCCCCTTTAATTCAAATCTTTATTTTTTTGGTGGTGTTTACGCCAATAATCTGAATTGTAAAAAACTTTCAGTTTATCATATCATCATGATCTGCTGTTCGTATATACATTAAGTCTGTTTGGCACACCCATCACCACAAGTTGCTCTTTTGCCCGCCTCACATCAATTGTATCTCTCTGCTTTGAGCCCATCAATTGTGCTTGAGTTGAATGTGTTTGTCAGCTACGCTGCATATGCTTTATATCTTGATAAGTAAGGAAACTGATAGTCTGACCTCTGTTTATATGGAAATGGAAGAAAAATAAAAGTAACACGGTAGTCGTACCACAGTCATGTTCTCCCCCTCTGAAGGCCACAAGCACATCTGAGGGTTGGAAGATAGGCAGTTGCCCTCAGATCTCGGCTCTCTGTGGTGCATAATACATCAGAACTCATGGAACAAAGAATTTCATAACAAAGGCTGCGGACAACATTAGAGATGCAAATGTATCACTCGAGGATGATGTTTACTTCACCGGGTTGTAGAGGGACAGAATTTCCAGTGCTCCACTAGGGGGTAAAAACCTTCTTTGCTCTCTTCATTTCTGTAATCTGTCCACACCAATAAAATGCAATTAAACTACTTTTTAACTTTCGCCACAGTAAACTTTCCATGCCATGGCGTCGAAATGCGCAGCAAACAAGTCTCTAAAAGTCTAAAGGGAGTGTGTGAGGGTGATAGAGACTCGGTGTTTGGAAATAGATTGTGCAAAAATACTCTTGAAAGAGAAACAGACTCGTTTTTGTTGATTGGAATAGTAGTGAGTTTGTGAACTGTTTTATTGGCTTGTGCTGTTCGCACGGAGTGGTCTCGTATGCAGACTGATGCGCTTAACTTCATCACTTGGCACCACTGCTATTAGAGTTATAAATAGATATGTCACTGGCAAAAGTGGGGTCGTGTAAGTACAAGCACCCGCTGTCCTGATCCGTGCGGGTACACCAGTGTTCCTGTTCAGTTATTTATGAAAGAACATGTTGCTTCGGAAAAAACCTGAATGACGGAATAAATAATCAAGCATCAGTGAACACTGTGTTTGACAGGCACCCCTCCTACTTTTCCCTTTGGGGTATGGCATATTTGAAGTTCAGCACTCTTTGTCATGACGGGGTAAGTGGCTCAGATATGATTGCTGTCACTCTGCTCTAAGGTGTACTTTGTGGTTACATAAAGCCCCCCCACTTCCTTTAGGTCTTCCTGGAGACTGGATGCAGGAATGCCTAGTCACACTGCACCAAAAGAGTGTGACAAGCGTTCACAGCCCTGTGTTGTGTGCACACATGCAAGTTTATTGTGCAGCATCGAGTGTGTACTGCAGCAGGACTCAGCGTGGCAGCCTGAGTCAGTGGCGTGCCCCTGAGTAAGGATGTAAAAGTGTGTCACTGGGCTAGTTTGTGAGAGTGCAGTCAAATGCTGGCCTACCGCTCCTCCAGGCTGCCAGCTGAGGTTTACAATGCTTAATTAAACACTTTATTTCAAGTGGCATGTCACTGGATTTGCTCAAATGCAGTATCCGTCCGACTGCACATACATCATCATTGGCTGCCGGTTTAATGGTCCGTAGAGTATTTTACAATTTGCGAGATGATGATTGCAAATGTTAGCTCTTCTAATGGATGGCACTCGCTTTATCAGTAGAAAGCTGTTTGTTTAAAAAGAGTGCTGATCTATCCTCCGTGGCGCGGAGGATCCCAGAATGTCTACAAGAAGCCTTTTCTATACTCATATTAATCTGTTGAGTGTTAAACACTAAAGATCATAACACTGCATTTTACTTTATATTCCTTTACGTAGGTCATTTTTTTTATACATGCAGCAGACCAGAAGGCTGTAGAGTGAAGCTGACAGTCAAAGAACTAATGAAAAAAGATATATTTTTAAAACTGTATTTTGGGGCAAAATCAGGTGAACATTTAAAATACTATTACTTTAGGTAACTTCAAAATAAGTGTCCAAAAAGGTGCCAAGAGGTGAGACATGAACTTGAAACCTCAAAGTCATTGTCTTTTAATACAAAAACAACTGTGCCTGAGTGATCTTTACCACATCAGTGTGCGGTTCCCCTCGGTTTCGTAGTCAGGTCTAACTTTCTTGCTCGTCACATCTGGTTTCAAACCACAGAGGTGGTGAAGGCTGAGGCCGTCAGCACTAAGCTCCATCACAAGAAGTGACATCAAATTGTCTACATCCATCTTTTCCAGACATTAAATCAAAATCCTTCGGATGACATTTTTCTTAGTTTTCAAATTCTCTATAGGTTTTCACACTCCCTCCTTAAAGAAATTACATCACTGCAAATTCATATTGCTGTTTTGAGCGTGTGCAGTGTGTATGTAAACACAGCCTGTTACCTCTTGCCTTCTTCCCTCATTCTGGGTGAGGGGGAGTGCCTGTCTGAGAGTTGTTGTGATGGGTAATGTTACCATTTGGGGTTTTGGTGAAATCTGAGCCACAGTGATTGAAGTAAGGTCCACTGAGTGGACACGGTCCACAACACTGCTGGTCAGATGACTTCCAGTATGCTGGGGATTAGAGCCAGTTGATATGGCAGGTGTGAGGGGATAGGACAGCAAAGTGGCCAACTCCTTCACCGTTCGAACCTTTTAATGAACATACTGATTTTATTGGTTGAGAATTCATATAATTTTGGAAAAACACAATTTCAGGAAGTTGATCATTTGCTATAAGCGCCTTTGGTTGCTAGGCAACCCTTGAAAATAAAACCAGACCCTTTATGATTGGCCTTAAATGAGAGGGAAATAGGAAATCTCAGCTAACCTAGGCTCAGTATATATACACTAATAAAAGTGGTAGTTAACACGATATGATCAACATAGGCTTTTTTCTGGAATTCAAATAAGAATAAAAAAAAAATGCAGATTTTAAATAACAAGAAGTGCAAAATAATCAATGGAAGTCAGCGGACTGGTAATTGAGTATTTTAAGTTGTCTGTTAAAGTCTGCAAACATTTCTTTCTGCCCACGTGCTCTGTTTTTACAATTTCCTTTAAGACTGTCGTTCTTCTTCCTCTTTTTGTGTTATAGTTAATGATTAATCCACAATGGAAACAGTTCTATGCATCCCTGCTTGCACTTCGCACAGAGCCCACCAACAACTGTATGTCAGTAACTGCAGGGGTCACAGAGTTTTCGGGACCCTTAAAATCGCTTCAAAATAAACACAGGGAAGAGGAGTCTTCCCTAATAACCTTCCCGGAGTTTACAGCTGGATGTCTGATAAAGGATACAGTTCCAATACAAGTGCTTTCCCAGAAAGCTCAGTTTGTGGCCTTTTGATAAACAGCACGGCATGTGGTCCCAGATTGCTATCTCATTTTTTTCTCTCAGCCAAAACCGAGATGGCGTTTATTTACGTGTGAGGTATGTTTACTGGATCCGAATCTGATTTTACGTGAAGCTGAGATAAACTGCGGCCACTTGCCTCGATTTCATTCGACGGGGACGCGTTTGACCGTGCACGTGCTTGTGCTGGTGTGTGCGTGTGTTTGTGTGATGACATTTCCACAGAGTGCCAGGGCAAGGTTTATCAGTCATAAACATGAGCCGATGGATCCCATCACGCTGTGAAGATATGTGTGTTTACTCAGCAGTGTGAAGAGCAAAGATACATGGGAGGAGAGAAGGAGACGCGTGTTATTTGGGGTTATCATGTTATGTGGACGCTGTTGCTGAAATGTATCTGGTGTATGTAATAATGAATAAAGGATTTGGCGTCTTAATCTTATTTAAGCATCGTTGTCTTCGCAACAAATGAGCTGACTGGCAAGAATCGGAGAATCCTGGAGGCTTAGTTTGAGGCAACGTCTTTCTCGGTCTTTTTGCGAGGAAATGATTGGAATTCCTGGTACTTAACATGCCTAATGAGTAGAACAAGGGAATCACAAAGAGGAGGTCTGTTTAATTCCTTTCATTTTATTCTTCCTGGCTTTCTTTGTGAGCGTAAATCTGCTTTGTATCGACGGCACTCAGAAAGACATTTACTGCATAGCGGTTTCTGTTTGCTGCCATTTTACACCAGGATGGCCCCTGATAGCTATTCTTGGCAGAAATCTTATCCTTCCCTGGCCAGACGCCTCCTGATTTTATTAATGCCCCCATCAGGAAGTGGAGCCTAGAGTTTCTCTTTACTAACAAACAAATTAGTCTTTGTATTTGAGTGGCTCCACCCCTCCTCCCTCTTTCCCCCGGCTGCTGGAGAAGCTGGAAGAAAATTCTCAATGAAACAAAGAAGACATGCAGCTCGATGGCTCACGAGTGGAGCCCAGGGGCATTGGTGTTGATTGGGGAAAGCAAATACTATTTTCTACTGGAGTAATTGTTTCCGTTCTAAATTTGGACATGTGAAACACCCCTGCAGGAACAAATATAGCCCGTTCACCCCCATAAAGATTACAATTTCTATTTTTGGTAGAATAGCTTTAATGAAGCACATCAAACGTGGCTTTTTTTCCCTTTTTTTTCTTTTCAGAAAAACAACCATGAGTAAAGTGAAGTTAATATACTAACAGAACTATTTGTATGCTTGTTAGATTTCTATGTCATTGTTCTGTAGTCTAGAAAAACAATCTGGAGGCATAGTGTTCGTGCTGGGAGTGGAAACTGTTTAGCTCTTTTCTTTATCCTTTAGCTCTCAGTAGACAGTGTTTTGACAAGACAATGAAAACATGTCTGTTTGCCTCATTGGATGGACACCGTCACCGTGAGCAACACAGTGACGGTGTCTTAAGCGCCTTTAAGAACATAACAGGTTTAACCTAAGAGCTTGTATGTCATTGCATTTCCTGAGCTGATTGTTGAACCCTCTTTTAGACACTGTTAAAAAATATATATATATAAATGCAACTAGAAGATATTCTGATTTCATAACGATTTAACGTACAATGCAAGGGAATTAGTTGTTCTTTGTCTGAGATTCACAGAAGATTTCTCTTAAGCTTTTTGACTGACAGTTGATTCCCAAACACTGGTGTATTTACCCCAGAGAGTACTTGAGCTGCTGTATGAAGGAATGTGAAAAAAACAGAGAAAAATGTGATTTATAGTCAGTTTCTCTAAAATTAATCACTAAATGGAACGAAATAGTCAGGGGAAATGGGTAAAATATGGATGTTTGAATTAAAAATGGACTATTTTAACTTCACTGGAGTAAAATGTTAAAATAGGTAATAGTAATATATAAACTGATTAAATAGCTACCGGTAAGTTAAAAAAAGACAATTATGTGATAACAGACGAAATAGTTGGCTTAAGAAAACTGATGAACAGAAAAACAGTGAATTGGTAAACAGATTGATACATTATGAAATGATTAAAAATAATAAAAGTTTGAATAAAGTTTGCAAAGGTGCTGAAGAAGTGAGACTGTATAATCTACTTTGAAGCATTTACCTTTCTTGCATTGGGCTATTCAAAGGGTATTCAGTGTGCACAAAGAATTGAAGACAATGTAGGATGTTACCTGAACAGACAAGTACAGCAGATGTCATATCTAAGTCTAATCATATACCCAGGATTTGCTTTATAAATTTCCTTTGTGTCATTATAGGACCAAGAGTTATTTATTTATTTGTTTGCTTTCTTCTTTGACTGGCTGAGCATCTATTTACTGTCTTGTATTTTATTTTCATGCTGATTGATGACTGTTACTTGTGAAGTGACTCATGACTTCCAGTGCTCCATGGAAGCATGTTTTTTTGCTTTTCTGACAAAACCCGTCGACACCTTGTCGCCTGGGGACAGACATGACTAACTTGGCGCATCCAAAACTGCATACAGCATGTATGTAATTGCATGTTTCACTGCGATAAGGTTTCCCTTGGTGTAGTTGCTGTTTTGCACAATTAATAGGATAGCCGATTATCATCAATAAAAAATGCAGTTTTTTTATTGTGTGTGTGTATGTGTGTATGCATCTGCCTGCCTGCCTCTCTGTCTGTTTGCATATGGGTGTGTGTGTGTGTGCGGTGTGAAGGGATGCTCCAGGCCTTGTGGTTTCAAGTGCTGTTTTCCGAGAACAGAGAAATAGCTTATTTAAATGTTGGGGTTATCTGAGGTGAAGGACCACATGTCTTCCAACGAAATGCAGGGTTTGTGTCTGATGTGATACAAAAGATGTATGAACATGTTAACTCTCGCACTTTATTGTGAAAGTAAGCGACTGTTTCTCTCATCACCCTGTTCACCTCAGCTGACCTTGGTAAGAACCTCTCCCCCCGTGTCGCACTTAAAAACTCCTTTCCTGAGAGAGCAGTGAGAATAAATTAATTTCTTTCATGCAGCGTAGGAACTTGGTGTAAACATGCTGTTTTTCCTATATGAAAAACTGCCAGCAAAGTACCAACTTTACTGTACTAACAAGATTATGTTTCAAGAAGATTACTTACGTGGAAATGTTTTGGCATACACAATCTCGAGGCTGTATTTCCCATCGAACACTGCTGAAACTGTGTATATGATGCATATGTACTGTAATACTCTTCTGTTGTTCTTTTTCTTTGTTTCTCAATGAAGAAAACAGTAAAGATGTGTTTTCTGTGTGTTGCAGTCTGTGGCCCGGATATCGACCTCCGAAACGACATCGATCAATTTAAGCGTCTTGAGAACTGCACGGTGGTGGAGGGCTACCTGCGCATCCTCCTCATCAACGAAAAGACCAGCAACAACAGCCAGCAGGAGGACTTCCGCTCCGTCAGCTTCCCGAAATTGACCGTCATCACCGGCTACCTGCTTCTGTTTCGTGTCTCGGGCCTCGATAGCCTCAGTGTGCTCTTCCCCAACCTGAGCGTCATTCGTGGGCACAACCTCTTCTACAACTACGCCCTCGTGATCTATGAGATGACCAGCTTAAAAGACATTGGGCTTTACAACCTGAGGAACATCACCCGTGGGGCCATGAGGATTGAAAAGAACCCTGAGCTCTGCTACCTGGACTCGGTGGACTGGTCATTTATTATGAATACTGAGTTCAACAATGTTATCAACGGGAACAAGAAGGCAAAGGAATGTGACAACGTCTGCCCGGGGATCATGGAGGATAACCCTCTTTGTCAGCAGACGACGTTCAATGACAATCGTAACTACCGCTGCTGGACATCCAACCATTGCCAGAAAGGTAACCCTGAACTTCTTGGTAGTTTTCATCATGGCGATGTTTGAGCGATGCTTTGTGCTGCAGTAGAGTAAATGCGGACGTGGCTTTGATCTAGCTCGGAGGTTTCCAGCATCACAAACATGAAGAAATTGTAAATTTCTTCACCAGTGAACAAATCCCATGAATCTATGCAGTGTTTTTCCTTCATTTCCGTCAGGCAGTCAGATTGTCCATGGGCCAGTGCAAACATTTCCTCTCTGTTCGTTACAGAGACCTTGTCTTTAGATCAGGCTATTTGTGGAATGAAGGATGGCTGCAATATAGAGCACCAGGTATTAGAGAGGCATACTCAGTTGAGGTTAAAGTTGCCCTGCCAAGAAATGAGGTAGTCTACCTGTCTGGACCATGTCAGCTAAATATTTGCCTGAGGGACATTTTGCGATTTATGAAAAGGGGTATATTGAAAAATAAGGGGGGGGGAGGGTAATTCTTGTTTAACTTTGGCCTTGCGGTAGGGTCATGCATTTTTTAACAGTTCAGGGGAGGGTCATATTTTTTTATATTCATTGCATTTAAATTCCTTCCATTCTGTAGAGTTGAGTCAGTTCATTTATGAATATCTGATACTTTGTGCATCCATACAGCAGGCGGGTGTAGCACCTTGTGGTCACATTACTTATCTTCACTGTCTTTTTCACAGATTTTAGAGTGTGAGACAGTTTGTGCTTTCAGATCAGAAACTGGGACAAGTAGATCTTCCATCTCATGCCTCTTCAAAACAACTCTGTCAACCACTTCGAGTCTTTATAGGCCAAAAAGATGAGCAAAGAGGCTTTTTGGAGGAATTTTATGTTGTTGTTGTCTAACACATTTCACCCACTCTTTCCATGAATTTAAGTAATTATTGCTGTTTGCTGTTTGGTACTGGAGGACACTTATATATTCCAGCAACTACTTTGTCAGGTGTTTCTGCCTGCCTGCGGGCAGATGATGTCACAAAATGCACACAAAACTATAAGGGTGTCTAGATGGGAGCAACATGAAGGCTTAGCTTGAAGACTGATTTGGTCCAACATTGTCTCTGGTTTGAAGTTCAGTTACAGGTCATGAAAATTTATTGAAAGTTGGAGTCAGGTACACATTTACAAAAGGGCTCATCGATCTATGCGTCAGAGGTTTGAGTTTTTTTAACCATCTGTAACTAAAACTAGCACATGCTGACATTTTTGTGTGAAAACAGTTTTTTTTAATATTCCCCCTGCCCATTTTTGAAGGCATTTGTGCAGGTGCTAGGATTAGTTTGAAGTCACAAACACCCCTGTCCTTCATCCCTTCAGGGAACCTCAGAATAAACAGTGGAAATCAAGCTTGCTGCTTTTTCCTATTGACCAAGTCGATCTCTATAGGAAAGCAATGGTGTTCACTGTGTGCGTTTTGTGACCTGCTGGTGCTCCCTGTATGTTATCAGGCCTTTGATCAATACACAATGAAAATGAACAAGGTTTTGTATGGTTGTCTTTGTTCAAAAACATTGAAATCTTAAATGGGCATATTTTACAAATACCATACATAGTAAAAGGTGCAAATCGCCTGTGATGACTTTTTAGTCACGTCTGTTCTTCCCACACTAGCTGCTATGTGGGGTTTTGTGGTGAAACCCTCTGTTGTTCTCACAAAGCGGACTTGAGAAGCAGAGCCGGAGCATTGTTTGAACCAGTTCACTTCTCTCAGAGGCCCAGGCGAGGTCAGGGTAAAAGCATTCATCTAGAAGGCCTTGAGGTCTCAAGGCTGCAGATAAAGGGTCTGGGTTTAGCTACACAGTGGTAAAAAAGGAGGAGTTACTGAGGCAAAAATAAGATACAATGAAGCTAGAGCAGATCTGTGATGTCTTGTAATATTCCAGGCTTTGTGCCTGTCTTTGTTTTTATAAAGGTTTGATGTGTCTCTCCTCCCCGCTTAAGATTCCTCTCTCCTCCTTCCTCCGCCCCTTTGTATAATTGCCTTGTTTTTCTCCAGTACAGATGTTCCTTCAAGGGCATGCAGTGGTATTCTAGTCAATACAGCCCGGTCTCCTCTTTAATTACACAACATGAAGAGGGAGTGATGTCTGCCTAGCTCACTGCTTTGCCCTCTGGGCCTTTCCAAATGTTTGTCCGCTCACCAGATACTGTTTCCCACACCAGGTTTGGGTGAATTAGACCAGGGTTTCTCAGAAGTGAGCTTTAATATGTTGCGTTACATCTGGATTTACGACAGGATGGACGTGAGTAGGAGTGACTCTGCAGAGAAGTGCAGATTGGAGCAGAAATTCTGGGTGCCTTTTAGTGGCAGGGAGAGATGCATAGAGAAGCTGTTTACAGGAGGAGGGGCATGGAGGGGAAATGTCAGACAAATGTCAAGTATACAAGCTCAATGCCAATGTCTCGCTGAAGGGCAGTGTACAGAGTGTTGAAAAAGGCCCCGTTCCTCCCACTCATCTATAACCCCCATGCTTCCTCGTATATCCTCTCTGCCTTCCTCATTGTTACTCCCTCCTCTTTGTATATGTTGTCTGTTCTCGTCTTCCTAACTGTCGTTCTCCACTTCACTTAGCCTCGATCTCATCTCTGATTGTCCTTGTCAGTTGTTCTGCTGGTGTTTCGTTTTCTATTTTCACCTAACTCTTTTCTGCAGGGCTTATCAGGGGCTGTTAACAGCTCCGGCTGTCAGATATCTCTTCATTGTTTACTTGTCGAAAGGCACTTACTCACACACATGCACACACACACACACACACTGGTCAGAACCACCAAGCTTGTTTGGCGAGACCCTGGCTCCTTCCACGCTGCCAGCTGCTTGCTTTGAGTTATGGGGGATCCCATGACTAAAGAAGTGTGGCCTGCTTCAGATGTCCTCCTCAGGTCTCTGTGTTTGCTGTAGACAGTCCTGCTTTTTACTGGACCTTATCCAAATCTGAATAGTCAATAGGCAGTTGCAATTAGGCAGATGAACACTAAGCATGCCGCTGTAGTCACGGCTGGTCTTAGGGCCGGCTAGTCTTCATAGCTCCACTGGGAGGCACGCACTCTCTTACCCGCTGGTTCTCACATAGCTCACGTCTTTATGCAATAGAATATTCATTTATGGTATGCTCAGCCTTGCAGGCACTCCGGTCTGGTTTCTCAACCTTAACTTACCCTGTCTAATTTAAAGCAGCACGTCTGCCATGCTTTATTTTTATATTAACAAATGCACGTCATAATGATTTATTTATTGCTTTTAAGAGTAGTGGGACATTAGGGTAAGTCAAAACTTTAGCATGAGGAGACCACAGACTTTGCTCTGGAGCCCTGGCTGTTGGGGGAGCTTTGCACCAGTCTCGGAGACTTTGCATTACTTTGCATTTAGTAATATGTTTGCTCTCTCTCTGCCAAAGACCTACTTGATATCTCTGGCCTGAGTGCTCTGACCTGAATCCACTTCACAACTGAAGTGGGTTTTTTAATAAAAACAAAACAAAACAAACCCCCTCCTAAAACCACTATTTTACTGTAGAGCAAGGTCTCACAGGCAGATACGATCTATGTTTCTTCCTGATGAGTAATAGCCCCAATGCTGTTAAGTTTTCACAAATCTTCCCCAAATATAATAGAAAGAGCAAAATGAATCATTCTGACTGTGGCATTCAGTCGGTCTTATCTAAACGTGTCAAAACGGTGCCATTTAAAAATAAGTCGAAAGTGCTTTTTTTTAAACAGCTAGTCCTGTAGTTTTTGAAAATGAGTAAACAGTATTTTTTTTCCACTAAGGAAAATATAAAATGTCACAAAGCTTGGGTTTCAGACGGTGTTAGGTCCTTGAGTATTTGAAATCTCAATTCTAATGGGCCTCTGGTCTCTCACAGTGCATAATGATCATCTCTCCACCAATAATTATAACTCTGTGGTATGCAGTGTTTGAGTCTTTCAGTAATAGATGTTTCGCTTGGTAAATTAAGAGGAAATGACGATAATGTCAAGGTTGCACGTTTTATCAGTGCTTGCACCTTCTTTATCCTATTGCTCCATGGAAAAATCCAGCAGATGGCTAAGAAAAGGACTCGGAAGTTGGCCCGACTTCATTTTTGAGCTAATGTTATGCCTTGGATGTTCAAACAATGATTATTTAACACCTTAGTGTTTGCAGGGATTTAATCACCACCTCTCCAAATTCGCCCATACCTGGTGTTTTGTAACAGTACGGTTACACACTGACTAGCCAGTTTACTTTTGGTTGTTTTCCTGGCTCTCTGCTGATTAATTTAATTCAAATTTCCTGGAAATAACCACTCATTAAATACATTTGTGCAAAGTGGTTCTACGGTGGGTTTGCAAAGAATAAACTAGATTTATTGATCTCTACACCTCTCGTAACATGGAGTTAGTAGAATTGTGTCTGCCACTTTAAGTATATAAGGTAGACATTCCTGCTGGCTTAGTCATTGCAGTTGTGAGGGGATAAAGAGGGGGGAAATACACAGCAGAGGCTGTGTGCGGACTACACATGGAAAGCCGTGGAGAAACTTTATGTGCTATTTCGAATAATAAAGAGTTAAACTGATTTGTGTGTTTGTGTGTGTGTGTGTGGTCTGTTTGGTGTATGCAGCCATTGTTGTGTAATATAGTGAGCCAAGTTCATATGATCGTGCCTTCCCCCTTCTTTTGTTTAACCAACATCCAACAGTAGATACAACGAAGCTTTTGAATATTTAATGGCTTCTGGAGCTTATCAAAGTCCTGCGGTTACAGGCACAGGAAACAGCTCAAATACCAGTCTTGAGAATCCAGTGCTTTCCTGGGGGCATGCTCAGCACCATGACAAGTTCCCGTACATCCGCTGTTTCCACTGGGCACAAATTACTTGCCTGCGATTTGCTCCAGTTTGTACAAAGCTTGGGCGGAGTGCCAGCGCTGGTGACAAAGTGAGGAGAGTCACTCACTCCCACCATCCTAAAGCCACCAGACTGACCATGGAAAAGTCCCATCTGTCTTGGTGTCTCCTGC